GTTAAATAAACTATAAAGCCTTAGGATCAGTATTAGAAAAAAAATCTCTTGATTATGTAATGGATTTATTTGTTGGCAATTGCTAAATCAATTGTTTTAAAATTACTATGAAAAAATTAAATCCTAAAAAACATGTGTGTGTATTTCACTATTTTGTAAACATTTATACACAAAATTTTATTTTGAATTTCATTACATAAAGAAGACTACTTATGTAACTTTTATAAATAATAATAATGACATTATACGACTATAAATTTTATAATAAAATAATAATTGAGTATTATATGGTGAACAAGAATAAATAAAATTTTTATTGTTTCTTATCAATGAATAAATATGTATTCTAAAATCAAATTTATATTAGTATAACGTGTTACCGGAATCATATATTAATTAACATGTTATTTTTTTTAAAAAAATAAACGTCACTTATTAAAAGATGTGAAATATGGTTGATCCAAACCTATTGTCCTTTTGCCTAAACGTACGAAATGATTGACTTATTATATGTATCACGTGCATCGCACGGGCTATGCACTAGTTAATACGAAATCACAAACAAATACTTAGTGAAATGTATAATTTCGGTTTACCTAATATCACCGATTTTGTTCCTTAAATTGCATACTAAAGTGAATTACAACATTAAATTATGACAAAAATCAGTTTAATCGCCCCAACTGCCGATGAGCCCAATGAAGAATCTGAGGAACCCAGCCCGACCCTCTCCTTCCTTGACCTTGAGTACGCGATCAAGCCTCCATCTAAACCTAGGCGGCACCGACCCCCTCCTTCTTTGACCTTGAGGCTGTGATCAAGTCCTCCATCAAACTAGGTGGCGGCGCCTTCCCCAAGCTCAAATGGATCTAACCAAAGGACGTCGCCACCGTGGAGGACGACTGATGGGAATAAAGGTCGACTTCTCAATAACGCCTATAGCCGTGCGTACCGAGCGCGCAAAAGAGCAGCTAGACTGGCTGAGACACTGCAGCGTCGAGTTAAACGAGGTCGGCCACAACAAAAGGGTCGACCACCGCGGAAAGGTCGAACGCGCAAGGGTCGAACTTGCTAAGGTCGAACACCAGGAGGTCGGACTTGGAGGGCGCGCGAAGATCAAGAGCGGGGAAGTCGAGCAACATAAGGATAGATGCACGGGCACCGGTCGAGCTCGACTAGTGGGGTGGGTACAACCAGCAAAGGCTGTAACGACCATCTACCGGGAATGGCGCACCAGCAACAATATTTTGAAAATCGAACCGTTCATCGAATCGGTGAAGCTACCGGTTTAATGGTTTACTGGTCGGACCACTGGTCAAACTGGTCGAACCAGTTTAATTGATATATAATCATTGTTTATATATGTGTTTAATATATAATTTCATATATTTTTTTATTAATCTTATAGTGTATAATGATATTTTTCAAAATAAATAAAGGGAAAAAAATAAATATAGAATCGTGCATAGTTTGATTATTTTAGCTATTTTATAACATTATAATATTAATAAATAATATTGTTTCATAAATATTAATGTGATTATAATGGAAAGGAATTATAAAAATGTCACCATAAATTTAAAAACATTTTTTTTAATTATTCAACATACTTCTCAATAGCTCAAATGAATCTAGTAACTATTGGTACCGGTTAGTCCTTAGTCCAATAAGTACAGCTGCATTGGGCTATAAGCTTGGCAGATTAGTAAGGCCAATTAGGCAATAACGGCCCAATAATTTAAGCAACCCTTTTATTGGATGAAGATCTCACATACGTATCATAAACAAAAATTTTCAGCTACTCAAAGGATTCTACATCCTCCTATGCGCAGAAGCACCATTGGACCGTGTGGGCCGGGCCAACCTCTACTGGTTCTCACGGTTCCACGGGTTTTGACCGATTAAAATGATTTTTGGTTGGTTTTGTGTTCTAGCGGTTTTACGACTCAAACAGGACCGGTGTGTTGGTCGGTTCTCGGTTGAACCGGTCGAACCGGCCGGTCTGGTCCAATTTTCAGAACAATGACCAGCAAAGAAATTGGCGCGATCTGCGCGAGATTGGGGCTCAATTCTAGGGGCGATCGCGCGGGCTTGAGATCCGCGATCTAGAGGCGCAAATCCATGGTCTAGGAACTGATATTATTTCCCTTGTATCTAGCTTTTCCTTAGATAGGTCTAGTCTTTGATTACCTTAGATATTTCTAGTCTTTGATTGCCTTTAAATGCCTGTGTTATCACTTCATTTGAGCTATCGAATTATTAATCAAAAACACTGATCATTTTGATCATCCTCTTGTGTTAATATTCCCTTGAGTTTTAGCACAACTTCGTACGAAAAGAAGGCCTATTGTGCGCCTTTTTGTACATTTTATCGCCAACAAAGGAAAGGACTAGGCGCGTCCGACAGCGGCAACCGGGTAGCGGATACACGATCTCTATCAACGACCTCCGTCGCGCATTGGTCGCCGCCACCTTCTTCAGGGCGGACCGCAACGCCCGAGAGCGAGGTCTACGATTGCTCCCTCAAAATTGAGGTCGAGGTCCGGCCCCTTGATGGGCTCACGTTGATCAGAGCC